GCTTGAAAGATCAAAGACAATTTTTAATATAACTCCGACTGGATTCGTCTGAAAGAAGAAAGTCATATACACCTAGGATGCCTCGGGGGTGAGTAAAACGCAGCCTAATTTTCATTTTTGGGTGAACTAACCCTTTAAGTACAAACTGAACTGAATGTTTTCACACACTTAACTGCACGTTAATTGCAAATAAAATGGAAATGTATTATTGTTTAAATTTATGTTAAATGTGCTTTAGAATACTTTTTGACTCACTTAAGTACATAATTACCTCGCAATTACTTCAGTTGTCTTAAAGGTGCTTCAAAAGGTTCTTCACAGCGATGCCACAGAAGAACCATTTTTGGTTCCACAAAGAACCATTCAGTCAAAGGTTCTTTAAAGAAGCATCTCTTTCTTACCTTTTTATAATCTGAAGAACCTTAGTTCGCCACAAAGAACCTTTTGTGAAACAGAAAGGTTCTTGAGGTGTTAAAGGTTCTTTATGGAATCATTTAGACAAAAAATGTTATTTTTTATATACATTTTGACGCACCTTTATTTTTAAGAGTGTATGGTAAACATTTATATTGCAACTTGTATGTCATGTATTTAAATATATTTATAAGTAAATATATTTGTAATGATGAACTTGCAAATTATCATACTTATTAAAATGTAATATCTAACACACTACATAAACTTATAATCATGTATTTTACATAGTTAGTGAATACTTTTAATTTGACATTATTACATAGTGCATATGTTAAACATTTTTAAAACTTTGGGTACACTTAAGCTGCCTTTTATGTAACTAATATTATTATCAGCAAGTACAGTTTTTGTAAAAAAATATATACTTTTAGGTTTTGAAGTACACAAAGGATGTACTTTCTATGAAATTAAGTGCACTTCATTCTTACAAAGGATTGCTTATTATGGTTTGACATGTCACATGATATTTACACTAATTGCCATACAGTACATAACATTTCAGAAGACTGAATGTACAGTGGCCTCAAGACGCATTTAGTCTCTGAAGGCCAATCACAATTAAGAACTTAAAAATTTAAAAAAGAAGTAGTATTTTGGAACCTTGTCACTTTACTGCATGTTAATGCTTATTAATACATGGGTTACGTTAAGTAAATCAAAGTTTCAATGGTTTTCCATTAAAGCATTTCATCCAGGTCGCCAGTAGCAAACAATGGAGCGCGCTCTGCTGGACAAACTAAGTAATTACACCATTTCAAGCATTTTATCTGCGTTATATGTACTGTAAAAAAATTTCATATCGGCAGCATATTCGCCGATACCGATATATCGGCGACAGGCTCATATCGGCAAAACGATATATCGGTCAGGCTCTAGAACTAACCCCATATGCACACTCACTCTCTGACTGCTGTGTTCAGTGTTGTGTCATTTATCGATAGACATAATGACATATTAGGCTGGGTTTGTGTGATTTATGGGATGCATCAGTCAGAGATAATGACTTGTCCTCTCTCAGAGAGACTCCACTCCCCAGAGAGCCAGACACTCACATCTGAGCCACAGAAAGGCCACATTAACTGTCCCAGGTGTCTTGGTTAATGGCTCAGGCCGCCTCTGTGTCATTAGTCACTGAGCTTCATTTATTGGCACCTCCTGTTACTAAAACATTCAGCTTTGAGAGTGATAAAATCAGCTTATTCTGTCACGTTCTGTCTATATAATGATATTTATCAACTGTGTTTTATTGCATGTTCTCAATTCTGAATCCTTTATAAAGAGACAGTGATGTAAATCGTCTTCAGTTCTGTATTAGGTTTGATGGATCAAAACAGATGTTAATTAAATGTATTGACATATTAAATACGGTCTTTGGGGATGTGCGAAACCTCTGCATGTGGTGAGGTCTTAAACCTATTATGGATGACACTTTGGATGGACTTTTTACTCTTTCGCCAAACACTAAATGGGCACTAATCTCTCTCGTGTGTCTATAATTAGCAGATGCTTTTGTCCAAATCAACATAAAGTATACTAGTGCCCTCCTCCAGAGAAATCCAAGGTTAAGTGCCTTGCCCAACGGCACTATCTTTCCATCTGTCTGTCTAGAATTTGATGTCAGTTATAGATGTTAATGGAAATGTCGAGTAACGGTGTGCTCTCTTATCATCCTTTTTTTTCCCGAAACTTTTTTTTTTAAGAAAGAAGTATTTAAGAAAGGAAACAAATAGTAATATTTCTTAATAACTTGCTATACTAGAAAGCTGGAAACATGACAAAATTAAATCCTCTCCAAAAAAAAAAATAAAAAAAGTGAAATATTTTATTCTTTGTGAAAAATAAGTGTGCTTATTTGTGTTGAATGTGCACTTTTAGCATACTTCATATCTTAAATATACATAAAAAATACTTGCTAATAATATAAAAGTAATGGAAAAACACGTTAAGTAGACTTTAGTGGCCTTTGATGTAATTAAAATACTTTCATGTTGCTTAACACAATTTAATAGTGCACTTTGTAATGCTGCAAAATGTTACTTTAAAGTACTTTTTAAAGCACATTTTTACTTTAATATTACATTTAAAATATATATATATATATATATATATATATATATATATATATACCGTATATATTAAATATACTAAATTGCATCTTCATCATTTGAAATGTGTAATTACAAATATACTTAAATACATGGCATAAAATATTCAATAGAAATGACATAAAAGTAGATTTTAGTTTACTATTAATGCTATAGTCTGTATTCAGTACTACACTTAGTAAAGACAATAGAAGTAATTATCAAATTACAAATATAAATGTACTTAAGTCCTACCCAAGTGTATCAAAAATATACTGCACTTAATATACATTTAAATGCATTTTCATTAACGTAATTAAGTGTCCAAAAATGTTACATTCACCTCACACTTAAGAATATTCTTTTAAATTATATTGTTTTTGTAATAGACACTCTTTGAAAAGTATGCTAAAGTCTACTATCCTTAACACTGTGAAGTTAACATTTTTATATTAAGGCATGAATGCATTGCATATAGTGTGCATAAAGACTGGTATATAGAGCTGGTACCTGTGATAGTATTTGATGCGTACTGTACATCAGGAGCTCTGTGTCAGTAATGTGCATATGTGTGTGACCTGTGTGTGCCGTCTGATCTTTGGTTCAGAAATATTGATTTAATCCAGCATAATCCTTTCTGATCTGCAGTCAGACCTGATTAAAGAGATTACAGACGACTCTCCAAACTCTTCCTCTCAAACTGTTTTTCTTATTTGTGCTCAGATGAGTCCATCGTTCTGGGCTGCAGCTCTAAAGCTAAACTAGATTTTAGGCGACTATGGCAAGAAATTTCATGGGATGTTTAGGCGAGAAAAACCTTGTGAGGAAGCAGACTCAGTTGGGGGACCAGGTTTATGGTGGTTTTCATGTGTGTATTATGTGTACCGTTACTCAAAACTCATGCTGTTAGTTATGTCTCTTATAGCTTTTACATCAATGAGCAAGTGTGAGTGTGTGTGCGTGTGTGTGTGTGTGTGTGTGTGTGTTTGTGCGTGTCTGCGTCTGTTATTCATATATGACCAACTCTTGTACTCATAAGAAATGTTGTTCACAACCCATTTACCTCCACATTCTGATGTATCTCCAAGTGAAACAGGATTTTCAACCAGAAATGTAGGGCAGGACTTGATTTTATCCACCAGGAGATGATTGGATCATGAGAAATGTCTCTATATAGCAAGTGATTAGCAGAAAAGAGTTGAAAAAAGTGACCAGATATAAAGGAAAGTTTTGATGAAAAACTGAGAAAACAAACTTGTTTTTCTTTGCAATAACTGATGAAGTTTGTACGAAAAGACCAGGAACACGTACTAAGTACTTTGGGTCAAATTGAGTTTCATGTTGACATTATTTGTCTATTTCAATTTATTAATTTCTTTTCAATGTCTTTGTGCCACCTCTCGTATGTGACTGGAGTGTTTGTATCTTTCAGAATTATCGTCAGTGCATGGCTGGTCTGCTGGTCCCTCCCTACGGTGTTATGGAGAGCGGCCCAAATACTGACAGTAAGTACAAACACTTGTCTTTGTTCGCCCAACAGTGATAATTCTGGTTTTGTTCCACACATGTATGACTTTCATTCTTTAAAACAAAAGATACGTTTTTCTTTTTTTTTCTCCATAAATCTAAAGCATATTGTGATGAGGGTCTGTAAAAAATCAAGCAAAAATCACGTTGAGAGTATTTTATACAGTAAGTAGTACAATATACTGTATATGCTTTGATAAATGTGACCCTGGAGTACAAAAGCAGTCTTAAGTCGCTGGGGTATATTTGTAGCAATAGCCAACAATACATTGTATGGGTCAAAATTATCGAATTTTCTTTTATGCCAAAAATCATTAGGATATTAAGTAAAGATCATGTTCCATGAAGATATTTTGTTAATTTCCTACCGTAAATATATCAAAACTTCATTTTTTATTAGTAATATGCATCGCTAAGAACTTCATTTGGACAACTTTAAAGATGATTTTCTCAATATTTGTATTTTTTTGAACCCTCAGATTCCAGATTTTCAAATAGTTGTATCTCAGCCAAATATTGTCCTATCCTAACAAACCATACATTAATGGAACGCTTATTTATTCAGCTTTCAGATGATGTATAAATCTTTCGAAATTTCGAAAAATTGCTTTTTGTGAGAAAAATACCAAAACATACACCAAAAGTTTGTTTTCATGTCTCGTAATCTCACCAAAGATGCAATTATTATCAATAAAAATACAGGAAAAATAGTAATATTGTGAAATATTATTGCGATTTAAAATAACTGTTTTCTGTTTGAATATATTTTAAAATATAATTTATTCCTGTGATGCAAAGCTGAATTTTCAGCATCATTACTCCAGTCTTCAGTGTCACATCATGCTTCAGAAATCATTCTTTGATGAATGGAAAGTTCAAAAGAACAGCATTTATTTGACATAAAAATCTTTTGTAACATTATGTGTGTTACGGGGCGACTGAGACGTGAGACGTGCAGATCCATTTGCATGCTTTTATTAAAAGGCGTGGTCATGAAACAGGCATGGGTTGATACACAGCAAACAGTAATAGAAGAGGCAAGATGAAGAGTAATCCAAAGGCTAGCGTGGGTCTGAGATCGGCAAACAATGTCCAGAGAGGTAGGCAATAGAAGAATCCAAGACAGGCAGCAGATCAGGAAACAGGCAATCAGGCACCAAACTAGACTAGAACTAGGAACTAGACAAAACTCTGAAATGGCTCTGTAACGTAGCTATCACACGATGAACGATAAGCGCTAAATAATACTCAGCAGTGAATGGTTGTTTGAGACTGATTCTTATAGTGGGTGTAATGGGTAGCAGCTGTGTGTGATAAGTTTCAGGTGAGCTTGTGATTAGCGCAATGGAGCATGGGAAATGTAGTCCAGGGTGATGTGTAATAGTCTGTGTGGTGTGAGAGTCAATATAATGGGAGTTTTGCTGTAACTCTTATTCTTCATTTCTGCTTCTGCATAATCAAACATGGCACATTGTGATCAGCTCTTGAAAAAAATAGTTTTTTTTTGCTGTTATAAAATAATTTAAAGTAAACTAGCATGTTTTAAAGGTTTAAAACTCTTCTTTTTGTCTGAGATTTCTGTGTTGATGTGTGTAATTCCGTAAGCGTTGTATATGCTGTTGTCCAGGGCTGGAGTTATTGTTCCTGAAGGAGAAAGCTTTTGTGGTGTGTGTAATGATTGCCGCTGATCCTCGCAGCCCCTCAGGACCCATTACTGAAGATTACACACATCCTATGACTTTACACACTATATTTAATCTTCTTACTTAACTATCACTTCTGCTGAATCTGCTGATCTTGACTAAATGATGCTGCTCAATATTAGATTTTAAAGATTTGATCTTTTATATTCATCCTATAATTCTTTTATTTTATTTACAAGGAATGCCTGACAAGGAGAATCTGAACAACAGTTCACCCGGATCATCATCCAAACACTTAAATAAGGTTTGTTTTAAGCTTCTGTCTTTGAAATCTTTCATCTCTTCAGTCAGGCCACGTTCACTCTTCTGTCCAATTTACTCACCCTCATTCTAAAAGTATATGATTTCCATTCTTCAGTGGGACGCACAAGTTTAGCAAAGTGTCTTGAGTGCTGTCGAGCTCAGAAAGCACAATAAAAGGACAATAAAACGTCTTAAAAATAGGCGCAACACTTAAGATTAGGGAACATTTTTTACTATTAACTAGTTGCTTATTTGCATGCAAGACACTGTACATCTATCCCTCACAGCCTTGTTTTCATTCCTGTCAAAAATTAAATATGGTGCTACACTGCTATATCACATAGGACTGTCCATGCTCAATTTTATCTGCATAAAAACTCTTTTTGACATATAAGATGTCCTGTTTGCCCATATTTTGAGGTGGTTTGTGAATAATCTAAAAATCTAAAAGGTTCTTGTTTGGCATCTATGGTTCCATGAAGAACCTTTAGCATCCATAGAACTTTCCATTCCACAAACGCTTCTTTATAGTGGAAAGCTCTATAGTTCTTCACACTAAGAAATAATAGTTCTTTTTAAGAACTGTTAACTGATAGTTTCTTTGGTGACCAGAATTGTTCTTCTTGGCATTGCTGTGAAAACCTCCCTTTGGAAGCTTTGTTTTTAAGAGCGTACTGTGAAATCTCATACAAACTCTCTTCACGCCTGACAGCAGGAGGCAAAGCTAATAATGAAACAACTCCAGCTTCTCTTTTGAAAATAAACAATGTCCAAAAATGTGCAGAGAAAATGAACTTCTCCTAGCCTGTTCATGAGAAGCTCTTTGAAGTCCATCTTAAACAGTGTTTGACTCACCTAACATGCAAAAAGAGTTCTTGTTATTTCTCCTGTTTGCGTCAGTTCTGATATAACTGCATCCTTCCTTCCCACCATCTCCTCGACAGAACAAGAATACATTTGTTTGAAATGTGAAATGAACTGGGTAGCTCTGGCATCCTCTCTTTCTCATTTCTGTGTAAGTGTTCCTGTTCCTCTGACCTCTCGGGTCATTTCCCGTCCACTGCTCCGACAGCCAACGCGTCTGTCATTTTTAGTGCTTTGTTTTTCTTTTTTCATTCTCTAAAGATGCATCCACACCGGCAGACGATCAATACCGGCCACCACACAGTCTCTGTGATTTGCATAATGGTGTTGTTTTATTCACTTAAGTGTGTTTGTGGCTTTGGTTAACAGAAGGAGGAATCCGTCTCGCAGGATGTACAGAATCGTTATGTAATGAAGGAAGTGTGTAAATCATGCTGTAAGATGCTGAAGAGCTCAGCTGACACGCTTAAATTGATTTGAACTTGAATGAGTTCACTGTTAATACTGCTCACAGTCTGTTCTGCGTGAGTTAAGCTCTGCATTAGAGTAGCTTGGCTGGATTGCAGACCGAATCTGTTTGTTTGGAACAAAAACAATTTTGAGATATTTTTACTTTTAAGTTTCAGTTAATGGTCTTTTTGAGCTGGGAAGACGTTCTAAAAGCATGTTTTCAAAATATATTTATATTAGTGCTGTCAAACAATTAATCGCGATTAATCGCATCCAAAATAAAAGTTTTTGTTTACATAATATATGTGTGTGTGCCGTGTATATTTATTATGTATATATAAATACACACACATGCAGTATATATTTTGAAAATATTTACATGTATTTATGTGTATATATTTATATTAATATAATTAATATTATATATAAATATAGTTAATATATAAACAACTTTTTCTTAAATATATACATGCATGTGTGTGTATTTATATATATAATAAATATACACGGCACACACACATATATTATGTAAACAAAAACTTTTATTTTGGATGCGATTAATCGTTTGACAGCACTAACATGTGTGTGTGTGTGTGTGCGTGCGTGCGTGTGTGAGTGTGTGTGTGTGTGTGTGTG